AATTATATCAACAGTTCAGAAGAAAGTAATTTCTATGGAAAGTATCCTCTGAATCACAAGCAAGCTACTTGACATTTATAGTTATAGATTTAACCTTCTGATAGATTATTCCATTATTTGCATACAATTATAGTAGATAATTTAAAGCATTTCATGTCATAACAGTCATAGATAATGAAGCAAGTATCCCTACAGTTGGAAACTATACTTACTCTCAGTTCAACCCACTTAAATTAAGTGACTCTCCACAGCCAATTAAAGTGACAAATATTGTAAACACAATGTGCTAAATCATATTACTCAAAATCACTGATGGAGAGTACCAAGAAATGGAATCTTCTTTGATATAGGAAACAGTTTGTGTTACCAGAATCATCAAGTTGAAATGATAGACACTTGAAGACCAGCACGGTTTCCCTCAAAGACTGTGAAGATTCTTAAGTATTACTTATTCACTAACAACTCTATTATAACTATACAAACAAAATAAAAACAGCCTATATGTTCAAAAGTAGATATAAAAATTGAAAGGAATATATGCTAATGCCAACTGATTTCAAAGTATTCAAATGTCTTGGTAAATCATTCTATTAAGAAAGGTTAGCAAGGTTTTCCTGTTGAATCAACTGTCAGCTTGCTTATATTTAACACAAAACGGGGGGGGGGGGAGCACAATGACCTAGCTCAGAACAAAAGGCGAAGTTCAAGACACTGGGGAAGAATTTTAGATCAGTTCTCTAGAAATTTCTTCCCCAGTATTCTTCCTAAACTGAATCTATGCACATAATGTCTTGCTTGTAATGGAACTTACTGTTTGCTCTCTGCTCTGTCTTTTCCTTAGGATATTGCATAAGTGCCACTTCCTTAGTGAGGTTGACTTTTGGAGACCTAGGAAAAATCTTCTTCCTATCTGGGATGTATTCTGTTACTGTACTCCTAGCATGACATTTACTCTCTTGACAGTCATGTGTTATTGTATCCCTATACTACAACATAATCTCAAATAAAGACTACTTTACTGTATTCTCAGGTCTTGAAGAATGACAGAAATATTTCTTGTATTAATCTACATCTACGGCCTTGTCTATGTTTATTTTCTATCAAATTTTTGCCAATTTGTGGTTTTTACTTTACCCAGATTTAAAGCCTGGGTAAACATAAGGAAGCTCTTTGAGGGCTTATATTTGGCAGCAGTAGTGTCTCTAGGTGGTGGACCACAACAAACAGAGACAGCACACAGTAGTCAAAGCAGTATGTGATGTAGGAGCTAGCTCTGAAAGTGTGATAGCTCTTGTGTGTGTCTCAAATTTTGGGATCCCTCAATGGTTGGTATTGCTGCTATGGACAATTATAGATAAATGGATTCCTTAGCCATTAATAATCACTAGTGTTACCACACTTATGTGTGCCTAGGAATCAAGGTTTAATCAGCTTAAGAGTCTGAGACTTTGGCCTGACAGATTTTACAGCCTTCAGGGCTGTAATCTTCCAGTGACCAAAGCTTGTACTTTCTCTTCTCCAGCTCCTTAGGCCAGCTTTGCCATTCCTCTCTCTTTTGCCATCTTATAACTTCTGGACCCCTTGTCTTCCTGTCCTGGTGGCTCTCATACTGTTCAGCCACTGTTCTATTCTAGTGTCTGATTCTTTTAGAACTTGGCCTGTTCTCTTGACTACTTGGTTCCATTATCTCTGCCACCATTGCATTCTGCTGTCTCTGATGCTTATTTCTTTGTGTTTAGTTCCATGATACTAGATGAAGGCAAGAAAAGACAACCTGGGCTAACCTTTTGATTGTACCTAATGTAGCTCCACCACAGCCAGAAGTACACGAGACTGTCTCCTGGCCTATTCACTCAGTTTGTCTGATGCCTTGTTATATAGACAGAGAAAGGTATCAGAACCAATCACAACATAACTCTCAGGCAAACAGAGATTTATGTTTGAACAAATCACAGCCTCATCTATTTAGTGCCAGTCATAGTCTTCCCCTGCTAGGCCATCAGGGAAGTGTATCTAGACTAAGCAAACAGGGAAGGAGGGATATTCAGACTTAGTTAAGGTTTATATTGTGTGATACAGTTTTATGCCAATTTGGTACAAGCTAAAGTTATCTGAGAGGAGGGAACTTGAATTAAGAAAATACTTCCATAAAATAAGATTTAAGGCAAGGCTGTAGGTTATTTTCATAATTTTTGATTGATGCCTGAGGGCCCAGCCCATTGTGCTTGGTTTCATTATTGGGTTTATGGACTGGGGTTCTATACAAAAGCAGGCTGAGTAATCCAGGCGGAGCAAGAGAGTAAGCAACATGCCTCCATGTCCTCCACATCAGCTCCTGCCTGCAGATTCATGCATCACTTGAGTTCCTGCACTCACTGATTTTGATGGAAATGTGAATGAAATAAAGTTTCCATCAAGTTGCTATTGGTAATTGTAACCTTAACTAAAATAGATATTCATAGTAGGATTTTTGGGCATTGCCATTACAGATGTTACCATGTTGTTATGTTGGGACTTTGCTGTTTTGTAGAAGGATTTGGAATTGTGGGCTAGGAAAGCCATTGAGTTTTCAAAGCTTAGTGAGCTGTTTTGTAGGAGGTTAGAACATACAATGTGAAGAGAAATGCAGAGGATGAAGGTCAGGCTTGTGAAGTTCTAGGGGAATGTTTGAGAACCACTCAAAGTCTCGATCAGAGCCTTCACATGGTTTAAGTTAAGAAACTGTAGTTCTAGTTAACTGAAATTAAAGAATAGATGTGATTAACAAGAGACAAGAACCACCTAGGTAAAACCTTTGCTTCCTGGGGTTGTCAATGCTCAGCAGCTGGTGCTAAGAAATTAGCATTGATTGAGACCAATATCAGGAGGTGAAATGTATAGCAGCCTACAGTTGAGAGACTTTGGATTTTAAAAGATTTTTTCACTCTTTTAAAAGCGATCAAATTTTTAAGTACTTTAAATTTGTAAGAATGGGTCTTTTAAGTTGGAAAATATTTTCTATTGTGGTATCAACATTAAAGTTTAGTCTTTGGAATGAAGAAGAAATGAAATGTTGAAATGTTGTAGCTTGGCAGTGATAAGCTTGTGTGTAGCTGACAAAGGGTCAATTGTGCTGAATATTTTCATGTTAAACTGACACAAACTAAAAGCACCTGAGAGCATGGAACCTCAATTAACAAATTGCTTCCATAATTTCCAGCTGTCCTGAAGCCTATGGGGCATTCTCTTAGTGATTGATATGGGAGGACCCAGCCCAGTGTTTTATGCCTCTGCTTGTGGTCTTAGGTTCTATAAGAAAGCAGGGTGAGCAAAGCAGTAAGCAGCAGGCCTCCAGTACATGTACTGCAGGTCCTGCCTCCAAGTTACAACCCTGCTTGAGTTCCTGCCCTCACTGCCTTGATAATGAACTGTTATAGGTAACTATGAGTGAAATAAACCTTTTTTTGTGCCCAATTTGCTTTTGCTCATAGTGTTCACCACAGCCACAGTAATCCTAACCGATAGCACCAAGACCAGTACAAACTGAAATAGTCCTTGTGAATGCAAAGAAATAGTTGTGGTCATTGTTTGGCTTTGCTCTGCATCCCTCAGTGCATCTGTTGGACCCTGCATACTAATAGTTTAGTTGACTATTATCTAATGGTCTTATTGCTAATAACTGTTAACATAGAATCAAACCATCCTACCCTCCACTTGTTTTACCTGCTTCCCTGTAAAAGCCTCACCACCAATCTAGGGTGGCACCACCCACAATGGAATGGACCCTCCTATATCAATCAGTAATTAAGAAAATGCTCTGTAGCCTAATAATAAGGAGGCATTTTCCAAATGATTTTTCCCTACTCTTCAGTGACTACAGCTTGTGGAAAGTTGATAGAAAGTTAGTCAGTACAGAGGGAATCCCTATCTATCTGAGAATGACCATAAAAGCATTTAATTTCATACTGGTTAATAAATCTCACTTTATGACAAATTATACATGAGGATAGATTGGGAAAACAACTGAGTATTCATGGATCTGGTGATTTTGATCAAATAATTTATAACACTTGAAATCCTTTCAGTAAGTCAGGAAATACTTTTTTGTTTGTTTGTTTGTTTGTTTTGTTTATGTATCTGTTTCTCTATGTGAATGTGTGCACTAGAGATCAGATGCTCATGGAAGCCAAGCTAGGGTATTGTCTGGTCACTTAGCTATAGAGTGGCAAGTGGTTGTGAGTTTCCTGCTGTGGATGATTGAGACAAGTCTTGGGTCCTCTCCAAGAGCAGTATGTGTTGTTAATTGCATTACAAGACCATATGAAACAAGTCGTGATACCAATTCTATTATACAGTTGAGGAAACGGACAATGGTAAAGCTGCCATGGTCATGTGATTAGTGGAGAAAGCTCTCAGAAAGGTAGATTCCATACTTCAATCACAAAGGGTCATGGTTAAAATGCTGTTTTGCTGCTTTGGACAGTTTCATTGCATAGTTTTAACCCATTTTCTTTTGTTAGGACATTCTTTTATATATAATTTTTTAAATTTAAATTGGAAAGGAACTTGTCTTACATGTCAATCCCAGTTCCCACACTTCCTGTCCTCCCCTGTTCCCCCAACCAATCCCCATCCCATCCCCTATTTGCTCCCAAGGGAGGGTGAGGCCTTCCATGGGGAGTCTTGGAAGTCTGTTACATAATTTGGAGCAGGGCCTAGGCCCTCCCCCCCATATGGAAAATGAGAAAGAGTCTACCTCAAGATCCAGAAATTCCACTCTTAGGCATATATCCAAAAGATACACATTCATAGAACAAGGACATCTGTTCAACTATGTTCATAGAAGCATTATTTGTAAGAGTCAGAACCTGGAAGTAACTTAAATGCCCCTCAACTGAAGAATAGGTGGAGAAAATGTGGTACATTTACACAATGGAGTTAGGACATTCTTCAACATAAACATTTATGTTAATAGCAGTGGCTTTATAATCATTTCATTATTTCTCCTTTCCTTTTTGCAGTGGGATGCCATTACTGAAATGGATGAGCACAACAGGCCCATACATACATACCAGGTATGCAATGTCATGGAACCAAACCAGAACAACTGGCTTCGTACTAATTGGATATCTCGTGATGCTGCACAGAAGATTTATGTAGAAATGAAGTTCACACTGAGGGATTGTAACAGCATCCCATGGGTCTTGGGAACTTGTAAAGAAACATTTAATCTGTATTATATAGAATCGGATGAATCCCATGGGACTAAATTCAAGCCAAGCCAATATATAAAGATCGACACGATTGCTGCTGATGAGAGTTTTACACAGATGGATTTGGGTGATCGAATCCTTAAACTCAACACTGAAATTCGCGAGGTGGGACCTATAGAAAGGAAAGGATTTTATTTGGCCTTTCAAGACATTGGAGCATGCATTGCCCTGGTCTCAGTCCGTGTTTTCTACAAAAAGTGCCCCTTCACTGTGCGGAACTTGGCCATGTTTCCTGATACCATTCCAAGGGTTGATTCTTCCTCTCTGGTTGAAGTGCGGGGTTCATGTGTGAAGAGTGCTGAAGAGAGAGATACTCCGAAACTCTACTGTGGAGCTGATGGAGATTGGCTCGTTCCTCTTGGGAGGTGTATCTGCAGTACAGGCTATGAAGAAATTGAGGGTTCTTGCCATGGTAAGATGCAAAATTACAAAGAATATGTCTGCTATCTTAAATTGTTCCTCATAAGTTATTGACTGTGCTCCCTAAGCATTTCTTTTTGAAGAAATTGACTTCTATCAACCTTAAAACATCTGATATATTATGTTTTCTTTCATATGAATCTATAGCTTACTCCTATCAATTAAACCCTTTGAATTATTGAATTCATATAACCTCAGTTGATTACTGACCTTCGCAAGTACTAAATAAAATTTTCACCTACATCGATTTTTAATTTTAGTAATATTTTAAAAATGTTATTGATAAGAAATAACAACATTGAAAATATGTTTAAATTTAAAATTACAACTTACATTGTTATGAGAGTGAGATAAATATAATTTAAGGATGATTTTTTTCTCACATGAATCTTCTTATAGAGACTTATTAATTAAATAATATACACATTTCAAATTTTTACTTAACCTTCATAAGGAACATATATGTAAGTACATTTAAATTGAAATTACATAAAATAAAATATAGAAATACAGTGATCTTGTTGTACACAGGGGTATACTACAGATGTTCAGTTCTCAGTGGTAAGTTATTCCTAGAATTTTTTTTCCTCTAGAATCATATTATATTTATTCACTGATACCCTGGCAATACATCACATTTGTTTAAAAAGATGAAAGACAAAAAGAAGGGAAAGAAAAGAAATTTGCTTGAATATGCATATGTAAACAGTGAATAATAAAAGTAAATGTTAATAGATTAAATCAATAGGACACATGGATTCTTGGTTGTCACAAATTTCACTAGCCCATTAGCTGATGATCATGTTTGGTGTGGAAAACATTAGTAATGCCATGAAAAATTTGTGTTATTTGCTTAAAGCATGAAATACCCTTTATGATTTAATGACTAGAACATTTCATTCAAATTAATACTAAGGATTAACCTAATGTTTTCTTCACCTATATCAAGATTTTCTAATGGAGTAAATATAAATTATGACTAATCTTAGAAGGGAGGATCTATGAATTTCTTTTGCTTTAGGAAATACCACAAATAAAAACTGATAAACTATTCTAAATTTTGGGAAAGCAAAAAAGCTCTGGATAAATATTATACATCTGTTTATGTTTTATTTAATAATGTCCTGTGAAATTTCACTTATATGTAGCATAAACCTTCATTCATTGTTTGGCAGAGATAGTTTTAAATAAATGATACATTTATACATAGTGTATTTTGAGATTACATTTCTCTATTTCATGATTTTAACTTTAATATGCTTCAACTGGTCATGCAAGAAAGAGGACAGTGTATTGTACAGTAATCATTCCTAATAATGTATGGCAAAAAGAGAAGAATTGACCTTGGATTTTATATCCTTAAATTACTAACAATAATATCTGTTGACTTATGCAGAAAATAGTAGTCATAGTAAAAATAAAGTACTCATACAACTTCTAAAAATGTATGGTTCCTATTATAAATAATAAATTGTTATTTTCCAGCCAGTGGGGAAACAGCAGATGTGAAGAAATCTATAAACATATGCTTTCCATTTTAAGCTATTTATTTGCTTGAACACTTTCATATTGTTCCTCTATTTCCTGCTATAATAAGACATATTATTGCTTCTATTCTCTGCCAACACTTTATATCACAGCCAAACCTCTGAATTTTTCATAGTAAATTTCAAAGCATTGAAATGTATTTGAATAAACTGATTTGTGAACTCCATATACTTATGTGAATGAAATGCTAGCTTCAAACTATAACTTGACTACACATCCAAGGAAGAAAAATTGAAAGTATTATCTGTATTTGACTTTATTGTCTTAGTTTATTCTGATAAAATAATCATTTGAAAATGTTGATATTTGTGATTTTTAATTGTGTATTCTCTTAGTAACTCTAGTTGATAATTATATATATATATATTTGTTATATGTTTCTTTAAGACAAAGCAACTCAAAACAAATTGGCTTGACACATTAACGACTTTGTGTATCTCTGTAGTGGATAAGCTTAAATCAGAAGAAGCAGAACTTTCTATTTTGACCATCTGATGGCTTCACCAGTGTTTAAGACATCTTTTCCTTCCCAGAGCTATTCTCTAGGTTGCCTCCCAAGATTTCATGAATAATCTTAAGCTTTCCTTCAACATAGAAGGATCAGCAAGAAAAGGCAAACAAATTAAGGGAGGGAAATAAAAGGTTAAGCATTTTTTTCGTGGTTCATGGGTGTAAAGGTATAGAGGATAGGACCTGTGAGGGAGAAAATGACTGATACTGTATTGACAGAGGGCTACAGCTGTAATACTGAACCTCATTTCGTGTTGTTTCGCACTGACTATTGTCTTTCGTTCCTTACACAAATCTGTGTTCCCATCCTGTGGCATCTTGCTGAAGTCCAACATAGCTTCATCAAAAGCTATTTCAGATGAGAGTGAAGAGCTATCCGCAAAGCTCCTCCAATTTGAAAGAAATGTGTTTTCAATTATTGTTTCTAACAAAAAATGACTTAGAATACTCAAAAGTGTTTAAGAGTCTAGAAGATGGAAATTGAACACTAGCCTTTTGTAATGATGAAGTCATTGATATTTCAGCATGTCATAAATTACAAACTGATTCTATTCTTTTGGTAAAGTCCAGATCTGTGTCAGGTTCTCAGCAGCTATTGGCTCCAGCTGCTGTTCTCAAACTCCTGCACTTTGAGTGGTACTCCTATATAATTGAACAGCACTTTTAAAATTTCCTCATTTGATCAATACTAGGAAATGCTTTAGCTTGCCACCAAATTACAAAGACTACCCTTACCAGTTATTTTTCAGTATTTATAATGGGTTGACCTTTTCTTAGGTCCAACAGCAATTTCCTTGGTGCTCCATATATTTGATACCCTATTCTGTGTTCACAATCCATTCAATCCATTCAATTCCAAAGTGTCCTGCTTATTGTTTATTGTCAGCTTAGACCCAACCAAGAGTAACTTTGGATGAGGGACCTCATCACTGCTTTAGGATATTGTTATTATTCTTAATTGATACCAGAGCGTCCATCACACTGTGGGTAGCACCATCCCAGAGCAAGTGGTCATGAATTCTATGAGAAAGCTAGCTAAGCCTGTAATCATTGTTTCTGGATCCATCCTGCTCGAACTTCTACCATGACTTCTCTCAGGGATGCATTTTGACATGGAAGAATAAGCCAAACAATCACTTCCCTCCTTTAAGTTGCCTTTTGTAACAATGTTTTATCAAAGCAATAGAAGAGCAAACTAGGACACAAAGCAAATGTCAGTGCAGTTTTTAACTTGACGTCATGGGAGTCCCTTATTTTCTCTAAATGTTTTCGTAGGTCTCTTGAAAGTGACTGTTCAAAGCAGCATTCAAAGAACCTCAGGACTTGGCCTTCTTTTGCTTTTTAACCTTGATGAATTTTACCTGCTGTTCTGCCTCACTGGTTTTGAACAATGGGTGTTTTCCTCGTGTCCCTTAATGTTTTCCTTGTTTTCTTCTAAGACTTGGTTCCTTTATTATTTGCTTTTTCTACCATTGAATTTCATTAATCTTTCCTGATCAACCATAGATTTTGTATATGTTGTTTTTCACAAAATTAATCCCCCTTCCATTCTTTTGTGCTATACTTTGTAATACGTATGAGTGTGTCTGCTTCATCAGGGCTGTCAGATAAAAGGGCTGTATTTAAAAAAAATATCGCCTGTGCAAGAAATTGTAAGAAATGGATTTCTGTGTGAGTGATCACAAGGCAGTGAGAAAGGAATGCAATAAGAGTAAAGCCCACCCATAAGGTTAAATTCTTCTTCTCATTATGTGTCAGTATGTAGAAAATGATGGTATCCTTCAATTTACTAATGATAGGACGAACATATTGGAAACAGAAATGTTTTGGCTGAGTCACAGAAGAGCAGCTAACATTTCAAGAACAGAAGCTCAGCTCTTTCTCTGCTTGGACTTTGAGAGGCACTGCCTACTTTCAAACTTTGCTTGAATATATTGAATTGGGACCTGACATGCAGCAAACATACAGTAAGATAACTTATAGTAACAATTCCATACATATCTGTCCCAGGTGATACAGGGTTTCCTTTGTACGGTTTTGGTCCTTCCTGATAAATTTAAGAATTTGATAAAATTTTGGAGTAAAGAGAGTAAACTACAGGCCGTGCAACCTTGAACTCTTAATAGCTGCCAGGAGGAAGGAGATAGAAGACAAACAAGTTATTTTTGGGCCAAAAGAGGCAGGCATGATAACAGACACCAGTAAGTAGTTTCATGGACAGGGATTGTTGTAAGAGAGCCTAATAATCCCAGAGGCTATTAGGGGAAGTAGGTTTTGTAGTCTGTTGTACAATGTGGGTGATAGAAAATGGAAAAAAGAAAAAAGTTTTGCTTTCTGAATTCTAATGCAGTGCCTTAGTTAGGATACTGTTAATGTGATGAAACACCATAACCAAAAGCAATTTGGGAGGAAAGATTTTATTTCACTCAGTAGTCCATATGACCATTCATCGTCAAAAGCAGTTAAGGCAGGAAATCATATATGGCAGGAACTTAGAAGCAGGAGCTGACGTAGAGGCCATGGAGGGGATGCTGCTTACTAGCTTGCTTCCTATGGTTTGATGGCCTGCTTTGTTATAGAACCTAGGACCACCAGCAGCAGGATGGCACCACCCACAATGAGTTGGGTCCTCCCTAATCAGTCACTAATTAAGAAAATTTCTTCCAGATAGATTTTATGGAAGTTTTTTTTTTCTTTTGAGGGTCCTTCAACTCTGATAACTCTAGTTTATGTTGACTGACACAAAACTAGTTGGTACATGTAGGAAGTAGCATAGTTTAGTGGTGAATCAGGAAGCAAGTAAGTTTTATGGGTCTTCTGGGACTCTGAGTTTTTATGTTTCTATGTCATTGAGGAAATAATTATCCTTCATTTCTTTCCTTTTCATTCCTGTCTTCAGGTGTATCATATTCCTTTTTTGTCTTCTGGCTTTAG